AGGGTAACTATAATAACTCAAATTTACCCTTTTTTATTATTTTTTATTATTTATTTTATTTTTATTTTTTATTTCATGTATGTTTTGTTTTATTTCGAGTTGAATTTTACTGAAAAAAAAAGAAAATGATGAAAAACACAAAAACGTTCATTCGAGGGCACAATTGCATTTAAAGAAAGGTATAATTGAAGTAATTAGGAGTATAATCGAACCAATTGAAAAATTTAGAACCTAAATTGCTTCTTACAGGGACCCAATTGATAAGATTGCGGTTTATCAAGACTGAAATTGTATCATAGAACGGCGTGATTGCTGAAATTGAAATGCACAAGGACCAAACCGAAAGTTTAGAGCGAATGATAGGACCGCAACGAAAAGGACGACCTATCGTCCACTCCAATGTAGATTCTCTTCGAAAATATTTTGGAGAATTTGCCCAAATCCTCTGCAAGGTTTCTATTTTGATTCTACATTTATCACGATTCTTGATCGAATTAATTTTTTATAAAGAATCAAGCAATCACTAATTCCTTTTCATGTTGATTAGTTAATCGAATCTCAAATTTGAGATTTTGAAATCTTGATGACAAAATTTTGGATTGATTGTTGATTCTAGGAGGAATTCAATGAGATTTATGGCTAGAAAAAGGGTTTGAATTCATAGAAAAAAAAAAAGGGGGAGAGGAATTCTAGGTTGAGAGATAGGAAAATCCAAGCAAAAAAAAAAAAGGTTGATTTTCGATTTTTTAGCGAGTTAAGGTTTTTGGGTTTTCTAGGTTTTGGGTTGAAGGTGTTCATATTTTTGGGTTTGTGTTCTTCAACCTCGAGACAATTTGAAGCATCCTTAACCTTGATTCGAGAAAGATTTTGGTTCGTTAAGGTGGAGGAAAGGAAATCGAGAGTAAGATTTCAAGAAATTCGTGAGAAATTAGCATTCTTGGTTCTGCATTTTATGGTTTTCTCCGGGTTCTTTCTAGGCTCATTCTTGACATTCTTCCCGTTTCCGGGTCAGCTCCTAGGTTTGATTCTCCAGCTTCTAATTTCGTTGTTTGTTTTAGTTTCATTTGATTGTTCGTTATTTCATTCCTATTCGAATTGTGGTTTGTGTAATCAAGTTTTTCCCTTGGAAGGGGGTCTTTAATTTACGGAAAAATTTGAAGAACTAGAGAGAGAAATTAAAGAATAAACTAAGAACAAGAGAGAGAGGGTTGGGAAGCCATTTGATCCATTTTTGGTTAAATTTCTTCACCGGGCTCGTTTCGGGCTTATGCCCAACGAATTAAGAAAAGAAAAGAAAATACGCATGGGTCGGATTGATTTCGGTCCAACTCTGTGCCCCTTACCCCAAATAAAAAAAAAGGACTAGACTGAATTTTTCCCTCACCCCAAATAAGGAAAAAAAAAGCTCCCAATAAAAGGAAAAAAAGAGAAGGCTTGCTTTCTCCCAAAAAAAAAAAAAAAAAAAGATTTTGGGTTAATGGATTAGGTCTAGGATGAATTCTTTTTGCGATGTTATTTATTTATCCGTCTATTTTTTTAGCTTGTTTATTTTTATTCCTTGTCGTTTTTTTTTCTTATATTAATTTAGAAATGTTACTTCAAATTTTTTTATTTTCTTTTCTTTAATATGTATTGTTAAAAAAAAAATTATAAAAATCTTGACGAAGTCTCCTATCCGATAGGGACTAACGTCACCAAAAAGAAAATGCCTAAAAATTTTGGCAAAGCCTCCTACTTGGTAGGGACTAACGCCACAATAAATAAATAAATTCGACGAAATCTCTTATCTAATAGGGATCGACGTCACAAAAAAAATATTCAAGATTTTCGACGAAATCTCCTATTTGATAGGGACCGACGTCACCAAAAATCACCTTTTAATTAAGACGTCCTCCGACACACCGGTTGTGTCAAGGCTTTTAGTGGATCCGATGTTTGAACCGACGTGTCACCCGATGAAGGGGACCGACGATCGTTTCAATATGATGTCATGCCCAAAACTAAAAAATTCAATTTTTCTTAAAAAAAAAAAATAGGAGTTTAAAAATTAGAAAATAGTTTGACATGGATTTTTAGAAGATGATTTTAGAACTAAACCATACATGGTACCTTTTTTGAAAACGGCACTTTTAAGTGATTAAATATCTTCCTAAAAGTGTAACCAACTCCTTATCTTAGGAATCTCCGAACCGAGTGCTACTTTTAGGTTCCTAATTCCTTACATACTAAGTAGCGACTTCAAAATTCCGTAAATAATTTTGTAAATAATTAACGCTTAGATTTAATCTTTGGGAAGTCTCGTCCGACGTTGTGTAGCGACACTTTCGATCAATCATTAATGCAAATACATATCATAAGGACTTCTATCTAATTTTATTTAATGAATAAATATAAACAATAAGAATTAATAAAAAAGACTTCTTTTATTATTAATAAAATAAATAATGTAATGTTACAATAACTCAAACCGTCCAATCAAAGTTGGATCTTAGACACCTATACTAACATAGACACATCACATCGGCATCATATTAACTCATAACTTACGACGTTATAATGAAGGGACGAAAATAAAACAAAATAAACAATAAAGGGACTCAATCAACATAAAGAAAAAAAAAAGAGTAAAGAATCTCTATCAAAATAATCCAAAGAATAGAGGGATCATATATAGGTAAAACCTAAAGGGTAAACACGCACTAATCCTTTAAATGACCATAACTTTCGATCTAAATGTTAGATTGTCTCAAATTGTATCAATTTGAAAAACTTATTTAGACGTCCACATTGTGTCGGATCATTGAAGGTCTTTTTGAAGTCCAAATTCACTTTAAAAATTTATTTTTAAGCTCTTTTGTGGACCGAGACTCATAAAATAGGCCCAGATTATTGCTATTTAGGAATTATAACATTCCTATTTATTTATTTATTTTCTTATTTTTTAAGCTTTAATTATTTTTGAATTTAGAGATGATTTATTCCTTTTCTTTTTTGCTTTTGTGAGTTTAGAGCAAGCTATTTAAGCTATTTTTAAGTTTTTGATCGTTGGTTATTTAAAAATTGAATTCAATTTATATATAAATAGTTAAAATTGAAAATAATTAAATTCAAAAGTCTTTGCAGAATGATCTATAAAATAATTAATAAAGTTTCATTTCTCATTTCAATTAGTAGTATCCTAAAGTCCTTTTTTTTTTTTCTCATACTACAAGTGGAAAGAAAAAATGTCAAGACTACAATTAAAGCAGTGGAAAGTCGAAACGAAACTTGCAATATACATGTGAAATATGGCCCTTTCTCTATAGATTCGAAGGAATTTCGCTAGTAATTGTTCACTTTTTTTCCATTATTTTTCACTAATAATTATTAAATTTCAGATTTAAGAATCTTTTAAAGCTTTACTGTATTTTTTGTTTTCAGCGTTTTTGAAAATTAACTGACCCTTTATCTTTTGATAAACGGTGCCTCCACTCGTATGCATTTTCTGCTTCCATTTGTAAAATTCAATCTTGCAATATTACGGGGCAAGAAGGAGTTCATGTGGTCCATGGAACAACCGACTAGAATTAATCAAGCCTCTTTAGTGCTTTCTTTAAGGAAAAAAAAAAAAAAAAAAAGGTAATGTGAACGGAAAGTCGAAGTTGGCCTTAAACAATAATCATGACAAATGAAGAAAGGAAATGTAAGGACTGAGAATTGTAGGTCCTTCCAATTTTCTAATCCTTCATGTTACCATCATCAGACCTTTAAACATAGCCTCTCTCTTTCTCTCTCTGCTCCGTCCTGGATTCATTGCCTCATGCATAGTACCTATTTAATTAAAGTTCAAAATAAAAGAAAACAATAAGCTTTATGATCTAGATATGAGATCACGATGTGCAGTTTTAGCCTAGATCGAATCCTGCCTAGCTGTCCGGCCAAATCTCATTGAGAGACTTGGTTTTTTATGATTTCACCAGACTCAGAAAAAATAACATACAGCACATTAGAAGTTTGTGTTTGTTAATCTTAAAATTCAAACATGTATAATTCTTAATTTTCTACCAGACCGGATAACATGAAAATTTAATTATTAGAAAACAGAATTAAAAAATATGCTTCTTTTTTTTTTTTTTTTTTTAATTTGGAGGCCTAGATGAGAGCTGCACAATTTTTTTTTTTTTTTTTTCAAATTGACGTTTTAGGTTGATTTATACTTTGAAGTTTAAAACAAGTGTTGCTTTTTATGTTATTTGATTTTTCTTTCATGTTACTTTCTCTGTCTCAAAATGATTATTCTCTTTGATTATTCACACAAGATTAAGAATTATATTAATTGTTATATTTATATTTTGTTTATATTTTTCAAAATTATCTTCTTCTTTTTAGAATTGTATTCAAATAATCTTTTATAAAATAAATTTTAATTATAAGTATTTTAGTAAAGTATATAACGTAAAGTTTTGACTAAATAAATATTTTAAAATAAATAAAAATAAAAAATAGACATTTTTTTTTTGGGGTAGAGAAGAAGTATTTATCAATTTTTCATGGGGCTAAATGTTAACCCTTTAATTTCATATGTTGTGATTTAGTCACAAACCAATAAGATACAGTGAAGATTGGTAAAGGGGAGTGTTCTTATGCCAATCCATCATAGAGCCCGATTGGATGTTGGCTGTACAATTATACTAGCCTTAATTTTTTTTAAAAAAAATCATATAGGTAGGGATGAATTTAATTATAAATAGTTGACAAAATAATATAAAATGTGTTTATTAATGAGCTTGGCTGGCAATCATTATGAAATGATAATATTAATATAGCACAATCCATGAATAGGGGGAAAAAAAGAAAAAGAAAAGAAAATTAATGATGCTTGTTGAAACACATGGCGGGAGGAGAAAAGTAAAACTAGAATTGTTTTCTCATCAGAAAAGCACAACGAGACAAGCATTGAAGTAGCAACCTTCAATTTCAGACCCTTGTCTTCAAATATTGTAGGATTGATTATAAACAAGGTCTGAGAAAGGTGGGGGCCAAATGATGACCAAAAGAATGTTTCATGAAAGAGGGTCAAGATCCATGTCAACCCCCACCAAGGGGGAGGAGGTAGACTAAATTAGTGGAAAAGCCATAGCCCACTAACTGGTCAAATTGTTTGTTTACATTAGAGTATTATCATATCTTGTTGAAAGATGAATGAGAGGTCCTTTTTATATGTGATGCAAATTGCACCAACAATTTTCAAATGGCTGAAATTCAAACAAGTCAATGAAAAGAGTGATCACTAGCTAGCTGTGAACCTAAAATCTTTCCCATTTTTTACACGAGGTCATGCTAAGATTGTCTTACCCTATAAATTAACAAAAAAATACTTTAAAATTCAAAGTTAGAGTTTTTTTTTTTTTTTTCAGAAGTTAAGTGGAAGTATTTTCAACTTAAATGATGAGAGTTGAAGTGGTTGGTGAGTATAACGAGAATTTAGACAGGCTAAGGAACAGATCAATTTTGCTTCTAGGATATTAGTTTAGGTGGTAAGAAAAAACACTCATTCAATTGATATTTTAGATTCAAGTTTTGTCATTAACTTTTTAGAAAGGTGATATATTTATATTTGAGTAACTTCATTGGCAAAGATATTTTAAGTTTAACTCTGAAATAGGTACAACGAGGATCTCTCCAAATAGATATAGAAGAATGGAAAACATAATATATTTATATAGGTATTTGATAAATTTGTCGATATATTTAATTTCAATTACAATACTAAAGTGTCATTTGGTTACGCATCAAGAGTGAAGGATTTAAAATAAAAATACATAAATAAAAATAAAAATAAAAATGATATTTTTATTCTTATACTGTGTTTAAAATAATAATAATAAATTATAATAAAATTTAGATTTTTTAATATATGATTTTTAATATAAATAAAAATATTAATTAAAAAATAATTTTATTAATTATAATAATAAGAAAAATAATAAAAGTGATTGTGCTTATTGTTGGATACGAAGAGGTAGTAATAACAATATATTAATAGTAGTAATATATTTTTTTTAAAATGATATCATCATCATAAGAGGTGATAGTAGAAGAAAATTGACGATAATAGTAGTATAATAAAAGTGATAATGATAATTAAGGAAGGGTGATGACGGAAGAATAATAATAATAATAATATTTTTTTTTATAACTATCGTCAATGATAGTGGTTGTATAATAAAATTGATGGTGGAGGAGTTATGATTGAGTAATAATAATAATAATTTTTTTTATCACCATCATCGATGATAATAATGGTATAACAAGAGTGATAGTGGTAGAAGAATGATGATGATGATGATGGTAATAATAATAGCTTTTTTTAATTTATTTTTTATTACCACCACCAATGGGGGTGGTGGTGATGGTTTTGGTAGTAGTAGAAATAATTGATACTCAATAAATATAAATAAAATATTATTATTTTTGAAAATAAGAATACATTGTCATTTTTTATTTTTTATTCTTATCTCTCACATAGGAATGAAATTATGTTTAATTTTTATTTTTATTCTCATTTCATTCCTTTAAACTAAATAAGATAATAAAATTTTCATTTTCATTTTTACTATTTCATTTATGATAACCAAACAACGAGTTAAAAGAATCTTTTTTACATCCGGTTGTTATTTAAAACATGCTTGATTACACTTTGATTGCTAATTAATACTACAATATAATTAATAAAAACATGTATATGAGAATATAAGCTGTCGAATCCCGAGTGCAATTATGATTAAATACTACATTATTTATGTTCTCACTAAAAAACACTTTCTAAAACTGTTCTCACTAAAAAACACTTTCTAAAACCACTTGTGGATCTTACTAGAACAAGAAACCATGGATCAAGACGTGTTTTTTAATGAACTTGATTGAATTATGCTTGGTTCTCAAATAAATATTTATATATCCATCCTCCCAATTGTCTCTTTTGGGTAGCCTCCTTTTAAAAGGGATGGCAAATTGTCTTTTGTCTATTATACGGATTTTAGGCGAGCAGGCCAAGATCGTCAAGTGGAAATCTTAGTTGGTTTTGTAGGATGAGAACGGTAATATTTAACTATAAAATTTTTGGTACGAGACAGATACTTTATGTTTTTAAAATAGAAAGAAGAATGTACCATGTGCAAAAAGAGAACCGGAGAGTTCATAGAACTAGGAGGATGATTTTCATCATATCTATCCGCTAACTAACTGGTTCCCACCGTAATGTGCAAGTTGTTAATTAAGGTCAAGTGTCTCTTTATTTTTCTTCACATTTCGAATGGTTTGTCTCTTTAATCAATTTAATTCTTTGTCCTTAATTCGTTAAGCTTTTAATATCTTTTATTTTGTTAACTGCATTTGTTTTATATTTTCATAAAAGGTTTTTTCCACGTTTAAATCTTTTATTTTTTTAATTCAAATTCTTTTTTTTATTTGATTGAGATCGTTCTTTTTTTTTTTTCAGATTTCTTGTTTCAGTCTTTTATTTTTCTAATAATATCAATTAGTAATCGATACTTTTTCGAGATTTCTTATTTTGTAATCTCACATATCGATTACCGATTGATAGCTTTATAACAGAAAATTTAAAACAAAAAATTTTGAAAAGTAAAAGGTACTAATCAAATTAAAAAAATTAAAATAAAATGTTTTAATTAAAAAATTTGAAAAATGCAGAATCCAAATATAGAAAAAAAAAAAAAAAAAAAAAAAACCCTTTTTGTAAAGATAATACTTTAATGCATTGGTTTTTTTTTTTTTTTTTTGGGTGCATTAATTAACCTCCTGGTCTTCTAATTAAGCAACAAATACTTGTTCTGTTCTTGTGTTTTAAATAAGGCTAGAATAATGAAGGCTAAAGCACTAAACGTGTTAATTTTCTAGGCACTTGGATCATCATTTATGGATCTAAGATTTTACTTGGTACTAAAACAATCCGTACATATTTCACACGAGGTTGCTGTAATTATTATTTTTACACATCATAAGGCTAGGGATAAAGTTATTCACTTGTAGTTGTATATTAAGCTTATTCTATGTTCCTGAATTTAAAAATCAATCAATCGAATCCTTATATATTCATATTCCTAATTAATAGGACTTTTTGTTAATCTTTATGACAAAAATGCCTCTCAGAACATTAAAACAAAAATTATTTCTAAAAAAAAATGCAAAATATGTAAAAATTAATTTTGAAAACCCAAAAGAGAAACACGAATTAACCAATAAAGATAAAAACTCAAAAAAAAAAAAAATCTAGAAAAAACATGTAAATGAAAAAAAAAAACATACAAAGGCCGTATACATACAAAGGGTTGTGAATAAAAGTCTATCTCCTACAATGATGCTGTATTGTACATGCAATTATTATTTTTTTCACCTATATATATATATATATGACAGTTCTGAAAAAATTATGTTAGTTTATTGGAGCCAACATTTGAAAAAATTTATATTACTAATATAGTTTTAATATAAAAACTAATTGTGTCTAATCTCTCTCTCGTAAACTTGATGATTTTTATATAGAAAAATGTATCCAAATGAATTACATATATGCATTGTTGACAATAAAACAAGTATCGCATTGAGTTCAACAATAATATCGAAAAATAACATTAAAGTGTTGTTTGATGATCGGGAATAGAGTGGTGGGAATAGAAATAAAAGTTTTATTCTCACATTGTAGGCTGTTTGATTAAAAAGAATGAAGTGAGAATGAGAATGAAGAGTATGAATGAGAATAAAAATTTACACATAATTTTATTCTCGTATAATGAAGGCTAAAGCATTAAACGTGTTAATTTTCTTGGTAATTGGATCATCATTTATAGATATGAGATTTTACTTGGTGCTAAAACAATCGTACATATTTCACACGAGGTTGTTGTAATTATTATTTTTACACATCATAAGGCTAGGGATAAAGTTATTCACTTGTAGTTGTATATTAAGCTTATTCTATGTTCCCGAATTTAAAAATCAATCAATCGAATCCTTGTATATTCATATTCCTAATTAATAGGACTTTTTGTTAATATTTATGACAAAAATGCCTCTCAAAATATTAAAACAAATTATTTCTTAAAAATACAAAAGATCTAAAAATTAATTTTGAAAAACCAAAAGAGAAACATGAATTAACCACTAAAGATAAAAACTCAAAAAACGAAAATCTAGAAAAAACATGTAAATGAAAAAAAAAACATACAAAGGTAGTATACATACAAAGGGTTGTGAATAAAAGTCTATCTCCTACAATGATGGTGTATTGTACATGCAATTATTACTTCTTTTTTTTTTTTTTATCAAATACACAATATATATATATATATATATATATATATATATATATATATATATATATATATATATATATATGACGGTTCTGAAAAAAATTATGTGAATTTATTGGAGCCAACATTTGAAAAATTTTATATTACTAATGTAGTTTTAATATAAAAACTAATCGTGTCTAATCTCTCTCTATAAACTTGATGATTTTTTATAGAAGAATATATCCAAATGAATTACATATATGCATTGTTAACAATAAAACAAGTATCGCATTGGGTTAAACAATAATATCGAAAAATAACATTAAGGTGTTGTTTGATAATCAAGAATAGAGTGGTGGAAATGAGAATGAAAGTTTTATTCTCATATTGTAACTCGTTTGGTTGAAAGAAATAGAGTAGGAATGAGAATGAAGAATGAGAATAAAAATGAAAATTTACACACAGACTTCATTGCTATATATTGGAGGAATAAAAACAAGGAATGAGAATGAATTTTTTTTTTCAAAATAATAATATATTAATTTTTTTAAAATAATAATATATTTTATTTATTAACTATTTTTACTATCATCACCACCAACATCACCACCGCAACCACCACCATCAATAAAACCATCGGTGTCATAACCACCACCACAACCATCACCTTTGTTATTTTTACAAACATTATAGTTTAATAAAATTATTTTTTAATTATTATTTTTATTTATATAAAAAATCAGATATTAAAAAATTTAAATTGTATTTCAATTCCTCATTAATATTTCAAATACGGTATGAAAATACAAATGTCATTCGATTCCTTAATTTTCATTTCGATTTTTATATTTTCATTCTCATCATTCTATTCCTAATTATCAAACAACACCTAATTAATATGCCAATGACCATTAGATATAGATTCTTCGAACCCAAAGGATAAAATCCAATTTTCATCCTCAAATCATCAAGTTCTCATCCCATAAAATTTTCAGCGTTATGTTTGAAATGCATTACTCAACCAATTCCTCGGATATATATTTTTTTACATAAATGGGATAGTTTGGCATATGTAAAAGGTTTTTGATTGGTCAGATCATCGAATTGGATCAGCAATTTCATTGATTGACTCAAAATAAAAATATTATTCCATTGAATACTCAAGTTATTCGACATTTTTAAATTCAAGAATCACTCTATGCATGTATGAACTCAAATGTCAACTAGATAAAAGTAAATATAGTATTCTTGTAAGGTATAACTTTGCTTTTGAAATCAGCATGGATTCACAAAAATCCAAAACCCCAAATATTCGTTAATTCCATAACCAAATATATACGTTTAGACCACTCAATTGGCTCCCTCAGTTTCACTCCTTCCGTTAGTCAATTTCCAAAATTATATCAATAGACTTGTGACTTATCAAAGAAGACCATCGATTAGCCTAAGCTAGCTAGTGAACATATTTTACTCTTTTAAACAGCACTGATGGTGCACTTAACCTAGTAATTAATATATTGTGGAGATATCCAAGAAGTGAGCATGCCCATTGTGATCATGTAGAGATGGAATTGACTAGAAATATTGGAGACCAAAAAAAAAGAAAAGGAAAAGAATGGCAAGGGTTAGTTTTGTAGTTGGATCACTAGAAACAGATGGAGCTGAAACACCAAGGTAGTGCATTTTCATGCTTTGTGTTGATACGTTCCATTGCTCCTTCTACTTTCAAACAATTCTCAAAGACCCCACATGGTTTGCTTTGTACTTCTTCTTGGTACCCTTCATTCACTCGTGTGGTTCCCTCTCTCTTCCTCTCCTGCACAGACACACATGGAGGTCACCACTTTATGTCCAAATCTTGTCGCTTTCACACCTCAAGCTTAGAGCATTGTGACATCATTTTGACGGAATAAAATGGGTTTGTTTTTGAAGGAAAAAAGAAAAAAACAAATTGGGTTCAAATTAATCTGTATATAAAATATTATTTTATATTTTTGGGGAGAATCTAGCAATATTTACATTGGTTAATATTTTAAGTTTCATTCTTTTTTTTATGATAAAGATGAGGATTTTTTTTTATTCAAATGTTGATAAGTTCAAAATTAAATGGGTAAAAGTCTAACGACTTCGAAGTTCCTCGAAGTTTCATTGATGCTAATTACATTGATTGAATTCATGAAATGTAAATAAGTTGACATTTTTCTTGAATTGTTGCTAGAAATGGATAGATTCTGTTAAAGTGATCATTTGTTTACTTTCCTTTTTCCAAATTGTTTTAGTTTGTTTTCACATTCACTAGAAACTAAATTTGCTTCTCTAAACTCCTCGTTATTTGATGACCCAATTAACATTCTTGATGTCCAAAAAAACAGGAACAATTTTCTTGATTCTTGGTCAATGTTGTTCACCTATATTTTTGCCAGGACCGTTTCTTTGACAAAGAAAAAAAAGGTACACAAATTTCTAATTTTGTTCGGGACTAAAATAATAAAATTTAACCTCTTTTTAGAACATATTTTGTCTATAGGTAAAAAAAAAATGTTTGAAAATCAATTTGTTTATCACTAGAATAATAATTTGTTGGTATATTATGGATATTTTAAATTATTTGAAAGAACATAGATAGTAATACTGAGAAAAAATCAAGCTCAGGTAAAATTAATATTGCTAGTAAAATTTTGGAAAATATTTTTTAAGAAATAAAAAAAGAAAACGACAACTATACCTAAAGGGCAAGGTTTTTTGCTTTTGTTTTCAAAATTTTCAAACAAAAACAAGAAAATAAAAATCATATTTTTTTACCATTTAATACATTCCACCATTCTAAAAGGAAGTATTAACCAAAAAATTCCTATTGAAATCAAAATAAATGAGCATTAACCAATGTGCCAGCTACACTTCTTGCCAACTCCAACTTGCCTAGGTAGCAGAGAAATATCCCATGAGCCCAAGTTATAATAAGGATTTCCCAATCGTATAAAGATTATAACATGTTTTAAAAAAATATTTTTATATTTGTTCATTAGGATATTAAATATATAAAAATCTACATATGTTTAATTTACTAATTAAGTTTTGGATTATTATTATTATTATTATTATTATTGTCGAAGGCTAAGATTTTGGGCAAAAATAGAAAAATGGGAAAAAATAATTAGAGTCACCACCTAATATTATAGTTTCTACTATGAAATTTTATAACTAGTATGTTCGAGTTCGGATAAAGGGTTTATTACATGTAGGGAAGATTAAAAATCACCATATTCCGTCCTGCGTAAGGCAAGATGTATTGCATACAACATCGATTTGATTTTTTATTTTTAATGATGAAAATTTATACCTATTTTTCAAGCATTTGCCCAATAGTCGAGTGATTTGGGACTTGGCCGGTTAGAGACATTGTCCTCGCTCTATAATGAATAGCTAAAAAAAATGAAAAGATATGATGAATGCAAGGATGTGTGACTAGTGTGGTTGAATATGGATGCATGAAAATGAGACTTAAAAATAGGCAAATAGGCCAACAAACAAAATAGGTCAAATTGACAAAATAGAAAAATAGGTAAAATGGGCAATTAGGTAAAACAAGCAAAATAGTTAAATTGGCAAATAGAAAAAATAAGAAAAATTGACAAATAAACAAATAGGCAAAATGAGCAAGTAGGCAAAATCGACAAATCATTGAAGTTGACAAAAACAATGGCAAAATTGGTAAAAATGATAAAAAAGGAAAAAATGGTGAAATTGACAAAATAACAACAAAGACGACAAAAGCAATAAAAATAGCAAAGTGGACAAAATCGATAAATTTGGCAAAAAATGGCAAAAAGGCAAAATTAGCAAAAATCATTGAAATTGCTCGACAAAGCGATCCAAAAATAGGATTCGACCGATACAACTTCAAGAATCATAATTTTCAACCAAATTAATTTGACAAGTAAAATTGACATGACAATCAATGTTGGCATGAATGATCTAAATCCAAATGTGGAACAAAATGACTTAAAAGTCATGATTTTTCAAGAAGACATGTTAGGCAAAATCGACAAGAACAATCCAAATAGAGGTTTGGATCGACACGATTTAGGCATCATTTTTTTACTAAAAAATTGACTCAATATCCATTAATCACTACAACTAGCAAAAACGAGTTCAAGACGAGATTTGAACTAACGTGGCTCAAAAGTTAATTTTTAGGCAAATTAGCAACAACATCAAAATTAATCATTATTTGACACAAAATGGCCCAAACAACGAGGTTCAAACTAGCATGATCTGAAATTATATATATTTTTTAGACAAAAATTAGCACGTGAGCAATTTAAAATTACTATTAGCAAAAATAGTTTGAATACATGGTTCTAGCTAATGCAAGACAATTGCACAAGAAATAAAAAATATTTATAGAATAAAAAATACAACGAACCAAATCATATAAGCACAACAACAATATAATTAATCTATAGGCATATCACGGTAATTTAATTAATTATAGACACATCAAGCATAAATTAAATTTAATACATATTAAATAAAATAAAATAATAAAAAAGGTGAAAAATAAATTATTATAAACGAGTAGAATGAATTTGATCGTCAAATTGAGGTCGGTTCGCCCTTTCAATCTTGATGAAAACTAATATTCAGCCAACTCGGAGAGAAAAAATAGCTACCATTGTAGATCGGGACTCGGTGTGAGGTGAGGTAGCTACCGGTGATTAGATCGGACGATGGCTATAGATAGTAAGAGAGATTAGGCGGTGGCTACTTACTAGACGGTCAAATCAAATGGATAGAGGTCTACGGTGGTCGGTCGAATGAAAGACATCGACCGTTACGCTAAATGGCTACCGACGGCGATAGGATCACGTTGAAAAAAAAATGAAGGAGGGGCTGGAGTTTCGGAATGTTGTTGGTCGAAGGGGCAACGGCTTCGGCATGAAGCTAGAGGAGTAACGTCGAGTGGCGTTGAAGCTTGGAGGCATGAAGGGTCATCAAACGAGGGAGATCAATGTCGGTTTGTTGCCAATCGACAATAACTATGACTAGAGGAGGAGGACGGCTAGAATGGGCTATTGCTATTGGCTGGAATGGATGGCAATAGCTTTAGTGAAAGAGATCGGGGAGGTGACTAGAGCATTGAACAAGAGCAACTTTCGTGGACGAGATCGGCGATCGAGATTTTCTTAGGGAAATGGTGGTTATCGAATTTTCTAGAGAGAGTAGTTGTCATTAGTTGGAGTGAGAAAAAGGAGTATATATACTAATTTTTTAGAGTTTTTAGCTAAAATTCAGTTTGGTCCCTCTATTTGCAAGCTTGTTTTATTTAGCCTTTTTTCCTTTTTTACAATTGAATCCCTCAATTGTGTTTTCTAATCCTTTTTTTCTTTTTTTTTGTTTTATATTTATTTTTTATTGGTTTTTTAATTTTTAGAAAAATTTTAGGTGTTAATAGTTACTCCCTCTTTACAATGCTTACGACAAAGAACCTTTTAAAAATTGACTTTTATTTGGCTTTTCATAGTAAACTTGTAAAGAAAATCATAAAAGAATGACAAACAAATAGAACACCAATAAACAAATCAATTAACAAGATCAAATGATGACTAACTATCCTCAAATCATTAGTCAACTATGGATGACCTTACTCAAAACGCAAGTTAATGCGGATAATCATCCCCGAGGTCAAAAAGGTGGCTTTCCCTTTGCAGTGAATGAGAGTGTAAGTGACATACCCGATTGTCATTTAAGAAACATAAATTTTTACTACCAAAACATAAACTTTTCCCCCTTTTTCTCATTTGTAAGTTATCATCATGTGAATAAGTTTGAGGTTTTAGGATAGCTACTCTTGTTGATTTTTATCTCGTTTAATTGCATGCCCTCTAATTATGTTCCTTTTAAATTTTTTGACTATGCTATTATTCATGTCGTCCGAATGGCATTTGCTTCTATGGTTAGGCAAGTAGTTGCTCGTTATTTCATTCTTTTAGAATATTGTCCTCAAGTGTTTAGGCCTTTGCCAAGCACATATTAAGAAATCTCACCTAAAAATCATTGGGATTGTTTTCATCATTGCCATCCTTAATTCATCGGGAAACATCTTATGCCAAGTTTCACAAAGAAAGCCTTCTTACCTACCAAGTCCGAGTAAAACTCTTATCATGTTATCATATACCAATTTGCTACATCATCATATTTCATAAGTGATGTTAATCACGATATCATGCATTTGACCAAAGAAAAAGCTTTGAAGGGATCGATCATACTTTTGAAAATCGAGTTATTTTGGAAGATAAAAAAGAGCAAATCATTTATGTTAGTCAAAGCAAGAATAAGATAAGTGAAGTTGAAATGATTGCTCTAATGAATTTTAGCCATAAGTCGGATGATTTCTTTGTTACTCTAGATAAAAATGAAGTTGATCCGATTTTTTTTTTTTA